GTGTCCCCCATGTTCCTCGTCGTCCCCTCAGCTTCGATGGCCTCCTTGGCTTCGTGCTCTTTCTCGGGGCTGGTGCCGGCGCCGTTGTTCTCACCGCCCTCCTCGTTGCAGCTATACTGCGCCATCTTCTGTGCCAGAGCCAGCTGCGTCTCCAGCTCCAGCTGCCGGATGTTCTCCATGGTCAGACCGTACCACTCGTCCTGCCAACACCAGGCCTGCCGATGAGCGCGCACCATCACCTTCCTCAGCCCTGATGGCAAGATGTTGTGAGATTAATGCTCATCATAACACAGGCAAGTGTAACCGTTTACATTTAAACTAGTTTAGGGGGAAAAACTAATGATTGCAGTAGATTTTTACATCTTCTAAACAAAATGCGAGTAGTGTTTGCCCATGCAAAAGTCAGCAGCCCAATGTTCTGAATGGTTTTTAATGCATTCATATGTGGTTGCCAACTTGTTCTGGATGGTTGCTAGGTTTACGAGTTGAGTAGCACTTACATGCTAGGAAAAAAAGAGCCTCAGACAACAGATGGTGATAAAATGTAACACATTACTTTCCATGAGAAGTAACAAAGTAACATAATTAGTAACATTTATATGAGTAATGTTAATTTTTAAAGAAACATTTCTCAATACTGCTATCAACCAAGGAGACTGTTTGTGTACTAGAAAGCTAAGAAAATGCAATTATTATTAAATGCTATTATAGTTTTAGTTAATATTTTGAATTACATTTTTGTTATATTTTCTGTTTTCTTTTTTTTTTCATTGCTTCATTTTTAGCATTTTTTGTCAATTTTATATATTTTTTTATTGTTTATTGTTATATTTTTAATATTATTTTTTTCCCCCAATACATTTTAGTTATTTTAGTACTAACGAAAATGAGAAATGTTCAATGCCTAGCTGAAATTAAATTTTTTTTTTAATCTTATTATTTCACGTAATGAAAATGTTTTTTTATGGTTTTAGTTTTAGTTAACTATAATAACCCTGCTTCACTGACGAGTCTGTATGTAAGTTCGCTTGACATTTGGGGTCAATGTGTGGTTTGGCTTATTTCCTTGTGCGATTTCCTCGTCTGATTAAGATGTGTCAAAGACGCACTTAACCAGTCTTTCAGATAACTGAACTTGGTCATGAAGAGACGTGCAAACAAAATTGTTTTCACAGCGGCCAGGAAACAGCGAGAGGAAAAATGGATAAAAATAAAAGGAAATCAGCCAAAGGGAAAGAGTTTCATAAATGGGAAACGGCAACAGTCAGCTTGCAAATTATCAGAAAATGGAGCCAATAAACAAGCCGATATCGAAGTAATGAAAAAGATTAAGCAGAGAGCGAACAGCAAATAGAAAGGAAATTAATTTTGCCCTGATGTAGTCAGGAGGAGGCGGTTCTCTGAGCGTTGATTTTCACTGGAGCCACACTGCATCGATCTTGTTTTCATTAAGTGCAGGTTAATGATTAAGGGCTTTTTTCCTGACAGAATGCTTGACACCTGCTGCCCACCCACGCACAACGATAACAGGATGTTACCAAGCATCATTTCGCGCACATATGCAGCAGATGGATCAGCTGACTCATATAGAATTATTGGAGAGACAAACGTCCTCTCAGAGCTAATAACACTGGTGGACATATGGTAGAGGACACCACTGATAATAGCACCGGTACTAAGTTAATAATAAATTCACTCGATTATCAAAAATATGCATTGTTATATAATATAAAAAATGTTTCGTCTGAACATTTCCGAAAACTTACCCACATCGTGAATGAAGCGCTCAATCTTGGACTGCATGCCCCAGTATCGAAACTCCACTTTACACAACTTGTAAGCGCACATGACGGGCATTTTGCCTGGGTTGTTGTTGATTTCCGCGATCCAGTCGTCACACAGGGGGCCCCGCTGGGTTTTATATGACTTGTAGAGTTTCGGGTCTTCCTCAGCCAGGTATTCATGAGGGGTGATAAAATCATTCACAATATCGATGGGATCTGTAAAAGAACATTGGTTTCATTAGCGATCTCATATTTTTGGGAGGACAAGGCACGAATGGTGAACAGGTTCATATTTAGTCTTTTATTGCAAACCAAATCAGTTCATCACAGAGATTTTATAGAACCTTCTGAAAGGTAATAACATGGACATTAAGGCTGTAAAACCTGGTTTATCTGTTTGTCTTATGTGTCATAAAGTTTTTTCTATTATTCATGCAGCTTTGGCACAAGGAATCAAGTTGTTCCATAATAAAAAAGATGATACTTTTTTCATGTCCATAAACGGAACTTTGTTTAGAAAAACTGACATGAAAATAGCATTGTTTGTATTTAGTGTGTGTAGATTTTTTTTTACCCTTCTTTGTTTGCTAACTTGCTTTTTGTGAAAGAACAACTCTTAAAGGAATAGTTCACCCAAAAATTAAATTTTGCAGAAAATCTGCTGAAAACTCACTCTCAGGCCATCCCAGATGTAGATGAGTTTGTTTCTTCACCAGTGGATCCTCTGCAGTGAATGGGTGCCGTCAGAATGAGAGTCCAAACAACTGATAAAAACATCACAATAATCCACACCACTCCATCAGTTAATGTCTTGTGAAGTGAAAAGCTGCATGTTTCTAAGAAACAAATCCATCACTTAAGACTTTTAACTTTAAACCATCGCTTCTGGCCAAAATACCAGTTCATAGTTCATAATAATGCTTCCTCCAGTGAAAAAAAGTATTTTGTTCTCTCACATCAAAATCCTGTTTAGAAAGGTTTTGGACGGTTTTCGCTTGTAAACGATGCTTGATCTGTGCAAATCACTCTCCTGATTTAACTTTAGACTACTTTTTCACTGGAGAAAGCAATATTATAGACAGAAATTAAACCCCTTGATGGATTACAAATCGCTTCACAAGATGATTATTTGTGGATTATTGTGATGTTTTTATCAGCTGTTTAGACTCACCCATTCACTGAAGTGGATCCACTGGTGAGCAAATGATGTAATGCTCAATTTCACCAAACCTGTTGAAGAAAAATTCATTCACAGCTTGGATGACCTGAGGGTGAGAACATTTTCAGCAATTTTTCATTATTGGATGAACAATCCATTTAATTCAGAGCTGTAAACTTTACTGTGTTAAAAACCTAACTTTGTAGGTCTTCAATTATTCACAGCTGCAAGGTACAGACTGTTTGCTGATCTTGGGTTGTTTCCTGTTTGCAGATGGCCGTGTCATCAGACGGCCTCTAGGTGTCTCCACAGCACACTAATGAAGGTACATGTTATCAGTCAGGAATGGAGTTATGTAACAGCATTCACTGGGCGCTTCCCCCTGCAGTGCCTTCGTCTGTCTGCGTTCAGCTCAGAAAGCCTCCAGTACCTGTCCCAGAGTGCAACGCTCGTGCCGTGGCACGTTACTCAACAGCAGCATGGTACTATGTCAATGAAGCGGCATGCTGTCTGCATCTCAAACATTGAGGCATGGCTCGAGAGCTCTTCCTGCTGGATTGCTTGAGATTGGTTTCACAAACAAGCAGGGCTCACGTGTTAAAAAGCATGCTAATGACGGGACCTCATGAAAATGCAGTTGTTCTAGATGCTCAGTTGTGCTTTTCCATTTCAGAAACGGTCAAAAGCATCAAATATATGCGTCAAGCAGAGTAAAAATAAAGAAGGTGCAACAGTACCTATATCCCGTTGCCTCTTTTCGGCCGAGGACATGTTGAAGACGTCATTCTGGCAACCCGTGTCTGGCTTGTAGTACGTCTCGATATCGATGGAAAACTTTTCGACGAAAGGACACGTGTAGCTGCAGGACAGGTGAGGAGAGATTAACTCTGATGTAATTTCATCATATCAGTGTCATGCATTAATCCAACCGCTCAGCAATGAGGTTCATGCGAGTTTATCCCTTTTTTCACACTGGTGTTGTCTATACCTACCATGACCCCTTCATTAACCCTCTCACAAGTGATTTTTTAAAGTAAGCTTCCGGTGAACTGGGAGAAAAACAGAGTAATCTTTATAGTTACCTACACAAAGTGTATATGAGATCAATAAAACATGTTGTCAAATTATATTTGTAAGGATCGTTATTGCCGCTTCCATAGATATCAGTGTATATTTTACAAACCTATGTGCATTTAAATGTCTGAAACCTTCAATAAGTATTATATGGTTGAAAATACTGAATAGTTGTGATAATATGACAAGAGCTAAGAGTGTTTGTCTCTGGATCAGCACCAGCCAAAGCGCGAAAGCAGATTTTAATTTAGCAGTTGATCACATGACGCACTGAACGTTCTAATCACACCAGTGTGATCGTATGCGTCAAAGGGTTAATGAACAGATATACGTTTATTGCAGTGGGAGTTGAGCTGAACTCAACACGCTTTGATGCAACATTCCCTATAAAACCAAAAAGATGCATTGAGAAAGTAAACACGGGTCTATTTTGATTTCATGTTGACTTCAAGATCAAAACAGCAAGGCATGACTTGAATGTTAAAAGCTGTTGTGAGTATTTACCAGAGAACTCTTGAAAGAGAGCCAGAGGGTTTTATTATTAGGAGATAGTGCACTTACCGTGTGCGGGTGTATGGGTAGGCGTTCCAGGATTCCTCTTCCACACGAAGAGCGGCTTTTGGCAAGATGGAGCGAAACCAGCTAGGGATGTGTTGGCCGATGTGGTAAACCTTGTGGGTGTATTGACCAGAGCCGCCTGGGCCATCCGTGTAGGGTCGGTTCTCCAGTATCTCCACCCCGCTGCCCTCGCCTTCGCTCTCTTCACGACTCTTTTTCTGCAGGGAGGGAAAGGTCAGGAATTAGGGTTCACAGACTTCCAAAAGGACTGGAATTATTATGAAGTTAAGTCAAGTCACAATTATTTATAAATCTTTTTATACAATACATATGGTTTCAAAGCAGCTTCACATTAGTACAGAGGAAAATAACAGTGTTAATGCTGTAGAATTCATTAATTATGAAACCATTTCAATTTCAGCTATAAAGCAGCTCTGCAAAAGATAATAACATTGTTGATGTTGCAAAGTTAAGTGTTGTTATCCAGCTCGATTCAGTTCATATTTGTTGCTCAAAATTGTTGTTTCTATTCAGATCAATAACTGCGTAAAGTTAATCAATTATGAAACTAATTAAATTCAGCTATAAGCAGCTAAAATCTATCAATTCGGAAACAAATTCAATTAATCTATAAACTGCTCTACAGAAGGCAAGTGTTGTCACTCAGCTCAAGTCAGTTCAATGTTGATTCGATTCAGCTGAATGAGTGTCAATGTTGCAACGTTCGTGTCATTATCAAATTTGTTTCAATTCTGTTCAATAATTGTGTCAATGTTGCGAAATTCATCAATTATGAAACTAATTAAATTCAGCCATAAGTAGCTCTACAGAAGACAATAGTGTTGTTATTCAGCTCAATTCTAATTCAATTTAGTTGAATGAGTGTCAATGCTGCAAAATCTATCAATTTGGAAACAAATTCAATTCATCTATAAACTGCTCTACAGAAGGCAAAAGTGTCATTATTCAGCTCAAGTAAGTTCAATGTTGATTCGATTCAGTTGAATGAGTGTCAATGTTGAAAAGTTAGTGTCATCATCCATTTTAGATTCACATTTGTTATTTCAATTCAGTTCAATAACTGTATCAGTGCTGCAAAGTTCATCAACTCTGAAACAAGTTCAAATGAGCTATAAACAGTTCTACAAAAGGCAACAGTGTCATTATTCCATTCAAGTCAATTCAATGTTGTTTCAATTCAGTTCAATAACTGTCAATGTTGCAAAGTTAATCAATTATGAAATAAGCTCAATTCATCTATAAACAGCACTACAGAAGACAACTGTCATTATTCCATTCAATGCTGATTTGATTCAGTTGAATAGCAGTGTCAATGTTACAAAGTAACTATCATTATCCAGCTCAATCCAGTTCAAGCTCTGTTCTCATCCAATAGTGTCAGTGCAGTTAAATCCACAATATTATGCTGGGAGCTTAAAACCTCCTTAGGAAACTCAATGTTAATGGAAGGTGACAGTCTATCCCAAAAGAGAATTGACTCCAACCCAAGAGAAGTCAACTACATGCTCAGCGCTACTGGTGCTGGCCAATCAAAAAAAGCCACACCATCAGCTTTGTCAGTAAGATAAGCCAAGACTCAGTTTGACTGCCAGCAGACAGAACCGTAAAAAATAGGGTACAATCTTGGCACGGCTCCTGAACTGTGAATTCTGGGAGAAGGCCCACTGTGCCAGTCAGGGTGGCACATGCCATCGTATCTGCCTTGCTTAAGAAAGTCACACAAAGATAGTTGGAAGCATCCGGTGGCTAATTGCATACCAACTTACTTATGAAGCCATTAGGGACACGTTTGGCCCACTTAGGTCCACTATGGGATTGCCTAAATGGGGAAGCAGGGTGCCTACCCTTAAATTTGTGTCCCAGGCCGTGAATGCGAACGTAGGATTCAGAACAGTGTCAAACATTAATTCTGTACAGCATTTTTTACATTTCTATTTTCAACTAACTGACATTGATGTAGGTGTAATTATGTAATTGTTATGCGTCCTCTATGCTTAAATAAAAGACGGATGATGACAGGCCAGTGAAGCTGGCACACTGACAGGGCAGATGGCCACACAGATCCCATCAGCCGTGACTCTGCATTAGCAAGATGATAGTGGGGTGATTAAAAGCTGACAACGCTTGCCTAAGACCTTCATTAAGGTGAGGCTTGTTTCAGAGACGGAGAAGAAAGTTATAGCGTTTTCATTTCATCTGAGTGCTCTCATGAGACAACCGCATGGCCACTGAATTCCAGCAATGTCTAAAGATGGAAAACGTTGAAATGATATTACTGCTGAAGCTGCTAGTATTTCTTTATAACCTAACTGGCAGATCTCCACTGGTGTAATATATATTTTTTTTCAATAATATTTTTTATAATAATGTATATGCATATTTTTTATTTATATTAAAATTATAAATTTCTTTTATCAGTTTATTTAGGATTTTTGTTGAACGATAGATAGAACAAATAAACAAACGATAGATAAACAGATATACAACGATAGAACGATAGATAGATGCATTACCTGTGTTACAAAGTGCCTTTTCACTACAAATTAGTGACAATTCCTCTTCCTTTCATTTCAATTCCTATTCAACTTCTTGTGTAATGTGGCTAATTCAATTCAAATTAAGCCAATTCTTCAATTCTGAATTTTGCACATGTGTGACTGGCACGGGACATGAGGTGGCTTTTATAATTTGTGCCAAATGGTCTCGCCCCCGAGACGCCTCAGAAACGATCACTCTTGGCCTCTCAGATTCAGGGGTTTCTAATGCGTCCTCAATCACCGGATACGTGGTGAGTAATACATTTCCATTTTAAAAGCACAGGCCTTCACCAGCGAGGGAATAGCAGTCGTGCCTCTCTCAATGTCAGACCGCTGCTTCTCTCTCTCTCTCTCTCTCTCTGCAACACTACTGTCAAACTCGCAGACTGCACTTTCAGGACTGATGTCAGACCAACACGTTCCACAGAAATGTGTGTGAAGCAGGAGCCCGTTGGAGGCGATCTGTGGGTCTGGAGCTCACATGTGCTGAGCAGGAAGAAACGGGCCGATCACGTCCTCTTGTTAGAGAGGTGAGCTGTCAGCAGCTGGTGGGACAGACAGACGAATGGCAGGCAGGAGAGGGAACAGGCGACAGAAGCGCTGGGCTGCGGTATCTGTTTTTGCTCATCCTCCCAGCGTTGAGTCGCCAGCACTTCATTATGGCGCTGACAGATGACATCAGGCCCCGCACCCGCTACAATCAATCCCTCGCACACACACCTTAGAGAAGAGTCTCGATACCCTAAGGCTGTGCAGTAGAATCATAATGCAATGTTTCTCTACAATTTCGCTTTGTTACTTTAGAGCGGCTCTTTTCAACAGGTTTTGCTTCAGGACCCACGTTTTTACATTAAATATTAAATGGCAACCCATTTAACACCAAAACTGTAAAAGTTTGAAAAAATCAAGCATGACATTTATTAATAGGACTGCACGATCTAGTGGGAAAATATAACTGCAATATTTTTTGATAAAAATTACGATTACGATTTTACGAAAAAGAATTCCAGGTTTGCTGTGCTTGTTTAGGGCTGCACAATTCGGCCAGGATTTCATGATTATATATCAATATAGTTATTATTATTACTAAAAAATATATATAAAAATGACTAAATAAAAACAAAAAGAAATTTTACAATTGTAATTTTACTGTAAAATAAGTGTTTAAGAAAAATAATTTTATTTTACTTTTCAACAAGTAAAATTACAATACTAATATTAAATCTGTCTTAAAGGGATAGTTCATCCAAAAATTAAAATTCTGTCATCATTAACAGTTGCTGGTCCCAACTGACTTCCATAATATGGAAAAAAATACTATGGAAGTCAATGAGGCAGCACTTCATTATGGCGCTGACAGATGACATCAGGCCCAGCACCCGCTACAATCAATCCCTCGCACACACACCTTAGAGAAGAGTCTCGATACCCTAAGGCTGTGCAGTAGAATCATAATGCGATGTTTCTCTACAATTTCGCTTTGTTACTTTAGAGCGGCTCTTTTCAACAGGTTTTGCTTCAGGACCCACGTTTTTACATTAAATATTAAATGGCAACCCATTTAACACCAAAACTGTAAACGTTTGAAAAAATCAAGCATGACATTTATTAATAGGACTGCACGATCTAGTGGGAAAATATAACTGCAATATTTTTTGATAAAAATTACGATTACGATTTTACGAAAAAGAATTCCAGGTTTGCTGTGCTTGTTTAGGGCTGCACAATTCGGCCAGGATTTCATGATTATATATCAATATAGTTATTATTATTACTAAAAAAAATATATAAAAATGACTAAATAAAAACAAAAAGAAATTTTACAATTGTAATTTTACTGTAAAATAAGTGTTTAAGAAAAATAATTTTATTTTACTTTTCAACAAGTAAAATTACAATACTAATATTAAATCTGTCTTAAAGGGATAGTTCATCCAAAAATTAAAATTCTGTCATCATTAACAGTTGCTGGTCCCAACTGACTTCCATAATATGGAAAAAAATACTATGGAAGTCAATGAGGACCAGAAACTGTTTGGTAACCAACATTCTTCAAAATATCTTCTTTTATGTTCAACAGAGAGAGAGAAAAAAAAATCACACAGGTTTGGAACAACTTGAGGGTGAGTAAATGATGTTAATTGTCATTTTTGGGTGAACTATCCCTTAATTTCTTAATTACACTAAACCATCAAACTTTTATTTTGACGGAAAACGGGAAGATAGTTCTTAAAGCTTCTCTTCTGTGAGAAGGGTTTCTCATTATGAGAAGATGGTTGCTGCATGTTGCACTTACAAAAGCATGATAAATTGACCCAAACCCAGAGCATATGCAGAGATGAGTTTGATAATTGCACTAAGCTATATTGCAATTTTGTTGTTCTTGATTAATCGTGCAGCCCTATTTATTGTTATCATGAACTGCCCAGGTTGAAAAAGCACAAGAAAAAAAAATCACACAGGTTTGGAACAACTTGAGGGTGAGTAAATGATGTTAATTGTCATTTTTGGGTGAACTATCCCTTTAATTTCTTAATTACACTAAACCATCAAACTTTTATTTTGACGGAAAACCGCAGATAGTTCTTAAAGCTTCTCTTCTGTGAGAAGGGTTTCTCATTATGAGAAGATGATTGCTGCATGTTGCACTTACAAAAGCA